TAATGATTAACAGAAGTCTCGGCCTCGACCTCTGAGCTGCCACTTGGGGAAGACTGTTTCATAAACAAGCCACCCTCAAAGCCTTCAGCAGGTTGAACAGGTGACTCCAGGGTTCAGGTCAATCGTGTTTCCCTCAATTTGCACACAGCTTTGGGTAATGAAGGCCATCAAATTCTAGAAAAGTATAAACACTCCCCCCCACAAATGTACCAGGGCACCAATCTCTAGGTGATGAAATTGGAGAAAGATGTAAGATTAGAGGGAGAGAGAGCCTGAACAAAGTGGAATTGAAGTCATTAGAAATTGCCTGCATGTGATTGAAGACTGAGAGGAGAGGGAAATGAGATTTTTCCAGACGCTTTTCTGCCAAGAGCACACATGAAGGAACTGATCCAGTGAGAGAGCATCATGAAGCCCATCCAGCACGTGAGGAGAAACCACTAGGTCAAAAGTCAATGAGGCTGGTGAGAAAGTTGTACATGGGACAATAGGGCTGGCCACCATGGAGCCTCTGCATCATGTTTCTGGTCGGAACTTTGCATGTCACAGCTGACAATCTGCTTAAAAAAGAATCAGGAGACCTGCCACTGATCACCTACTAGCCTGGTAATGCGTAACGTGGGCCCATAAAGCCTATTTCTATATATTCCAAGGTGATATTTCTAGCTTAAATGGAACATGTCTTCTGAGTGAGATGGCATAGTAAATACATGGTTTGAGGCTCCTTTTGACTCCCAATAGACAGTTTTAAAAGGGAGAAGTAAATGCCACACACTTCTAATACTGAAACAAGTTAACTTGGTGAATCAGAAGCACAGAGCAGAAGGAATGTTCCTTCTCACCTAAGAAAATATATTTGGAGATGAAATGAAGCTCCGTAAATCAGCCTGATCCAGGCCACGGTCTTCACAATTACTTGCTCTGCATCTGAAAGCTTGTTGTTGGTGGTGGTTAGTATTTAATCAGGAACGGCCCATAGTTGACCCTCTAGTGGGTTTTCAGAGGCAGTTAATCACACAGGAAGATTGTCTGTCTTTCTCCCATGGAGTAGGTGGCAGATTTGAACCACTAGTTTATAGGATTACCACACAGATTTTTAACACTAGGCACCAGAGCTCCTGTCAGAAAGCTAGACAGTGAATAAAGAAGAATTGATACCTTTGAGTTGAGGTGCTAGAGAAGAGTATTGAACACACAATGGACCACCAGGAGAACAACCAGAGAGGGTGGAACCAGGTTGCTTCTTGGAGGCAGGGATTTTGAAGCTCTGTCTCACATACTTTGGGCATGTGGCTAGGAGGGACCAGTCCTTAGAGAAGGACATCACATCTCGAAAGGTGGAGAGACAGTACAGGAAAAGAAGACTCCTGATGAGATGGACTGATACAGTAACTGGGATAATGGGGGTAGGTGTGTTGGAGAGACTGAGACTGGCTCAAGTTAGTGCCAGATTCAGAGCTATGGTACACAGAGTCATTATGAGTTGCAGTCAACTCAAGGTCACATAACAACAAGCATTGCCCATGGAAGAGGTAGGAAGTAGACTCTATTGTCCACTAACACCAGCTAGAGAGGCTGGCTCGCTTTATTACTCTCAACAAGACCAAAGAGAAAAAGACTTAAGTTTCCACTGGCACACGTGGTCCTGGATTGAGAATCCAGAAACAGAAAAATGCTACAAGGGGAAAATCACTGGGAGAGCAGGGGTTGATAAGGGGATAGAAGGGGTTGAAGTAACAGGGAAGGATCAATGAGTCTGAAAAGATGGGCGATGATAGGCACAGAGCAATAGCCATTAATTTTATAAAATACTACGTATATGAATATTTGTATAAAACACAAAGTCCAAGTACAAAACATGATGCATATGAATGATTACAAGCAAACCAATAAAAATTAAAAGAAAAGAAAATCTAGGGAGTGTCCAAAAAAGACAGGGATTGATGATAATATAGAGAAAAACCATAATCACTTTTTGTCAAGATAAACCTACACATAAGAATTCAAGAACACTTGCATAACCAGGAGAGGATAATACTGATGAATTGAACCTTCTAAAGATTAAGTTCCTGTGTCATCAAAACTGTTTTTCAATAGGATGAAAATAAAACCTATTGACTGGGGGGGAGGGGCGTGTAAACCCCAAACAAACACTTGACAATTAAATTTCAGACAAGGTCTCATAACAAAAATTTACAGCCCCCAAAAGAAAATGATTGATAACTCAATTACAAATAGGCAAAAGACATGGACAAATTTTTCACAGAGGAAGACATTCAGATGGCCAACAGACACATGAAGAAATGCTCTAAATCACTGGCAATAAGAGAGATACAAATCAAAACCACAATGAGATGACATCTCACCCCAGTAGCAGTGGCAAAGTTTAACAGGAAAACAAGAAATAAATGTTGGGGAGAACACGTGGAGAGATTGGAACTCTTATACATTGTACCAGTAAAGTGGTACAACCACTTTGGAAGGCAGTTTGGCATTTCTTCAAAAAGCTGGACATAGAAATTTTATATAACTGAGCTAGTCCCCTACTAGGAATATACCCCAAGGAAATTAGAACTGAGACACAAAGATTCACATACGTTGTTCACAGAAGTTTTATTTACAATAGCAAGAATATAGAAATAGCCCAAATGTACAGAAATTAATGGATGGATTTAGAAATTGTGGTAGAATCACACAATAGAAGAATATGCAGACTTAAAAGCAACACTTTAAAACAAAAATTACTATATAACATGGAGAGGCTAGAGATTATTATGCTGAGTGAACTAACTTAGTCTCATAAGGACAAATACTGCACAAGACCATTGTTGTAAAAAAATAGAAGGATAACTAGTAAGATGTGGATAAAAGTCCAAGGGGGTAAGAGGAGGTGCAGTGGGTCTGAGGGTCAGCAGAAGGGGATATCATGAGGTCACAGAGTTTGATGGATAAAGTAAGAGGGTGAAGGAATTGGGATGGATCTAGTTGGGGCCCTGAAATGGCTGGAAGATAGTGACTATATGTGATAAACGTTTTGAAACAGTGCCTGGGAATGATCATACGGAATGCAATATGAATGAAGGAATGTGTGAAATACAATATATATGAATGAAACAATGTGTTTATTCAAATATATGCTCCTACATCAAGAGCCAAAGAGGAAGAAATTGAGAATTTTTATCAAATCTTGCAGTCTGAAATAGAACATGCAATCAAGATGCATTAATGATAACTGGTGACTGGAATGCAAAAGTGGGAAACAGCTAAGAAGGAATAATAGTTAGAAAATATGAGTGTGGTGATAGAAATGAGGCTGAAAGTAGAATGAGTGAATTTTGTATTTACAGTGATTTATTCCAAATACCTTTTTGAAAGATACAAACAATAACTTTACACATGGATCTCACCTGATAGGCTGGACAGGAATCAGACTGACTATATCTGTGGAAAGAATCATTGGAGAAGTTTAATAACAGCAGTCAAAACTAGGCCAGGGTCAGACTGTGGGTCTGATCATCAGGTTCTCATATGCAAGTTCAAACTGAGGCTGAAGAAAATGAAAATAAATCTAAAGAAAGAAGATAAAATTTTGAATCAATTCCATCTGAATTTCAAGATCAGATTTGAGAATAGATTTGAAGCATTGAACTCCAATGATCAAAGACAAGATGTGTTGTGGAATGTCCATGAAGAAAGCAAAAGGTCATTAAAAAAAAAAGGAGGAGAAAGAAAAAGAAATTGAAATGGATGTCAGAAGGGACTCTAAAGATTGCACTGGAGCTAAACAAAAGGAAAACATGTTAAATTGAAAGAGCTGAACAGACAATTTCAAAGGGCAGTTCAGGGGGACAAAGAAAGGATTATAATGGAATTTGATAATAAAAAGAGAAAAACTCATCCTGCATTTTTTTCAAGCTGAAAGAACTGAAAAACAAATGTAAGCCTCTTGTCACAAAACTGAAAGATGTTATGGGCAATATTTTGAATGACCCAGAAAGCATCAAAAGAAGATTGAAGGAATACAGAGTCACTGTACCAGAATGAGCTGGTTGACACTGAAAAATTTCAAGTTGTACCATATGAACAGGAGCCAATGGTAAGGAAAGAGGGAGTAGAAGCTACATTAAAGACAGTGTGTGGGGGGGGGGAAATAAGAAACCAGGAATCAGTGGGATACCAATTGACTTGTTTCAATTAGCAGATGCATCCTTGGATTTGTGGACAAGGCTATGACAGGAAATTTGGAGGATGGCTGTGTGGCCAACAGATTAGAATAGGTCCATATTTGTTCCCATTCCCAAGAAAGGTGATTCTACTGAATGTGGAAACTATCGAGCAGTATCACTAATATCCCATGTTAGCAAAATAGTGTTGAAGACCATTCAAAAATGGCTAGAATAGTAAAGCAGAATTTAGAAGATGCCATGGCACCAGAGATATCACTGCTGATGTCAAATGAATCCTGGCTAAAAGTAAGGAATACCAGAAGAATGTCTATTTGCACTTTATTGACTATGCAAAGGCATTTGAATGTGTGGATCATAAGTTGTGGTTGACATTGAGAAGAATGGGAATCCCAAAGCACTTGATTATGCTCATGCAGAACCTAGACCTGGACCAGGAGGCTGTTGTGCAAGCAACTGCACTATTTAAAATAAAGAAGGGAGTGTGTCAAGGTTGTATTGTCTTTCTATTCTTATTCAATTTGTATACTGCACAAATTATCTGAGAAGCTGGACTCTATGAAGAATAGTGTGGCATCAGCCTTGGAGGGAGACTTACCAATAACCTAAGTTATATAGATGACACAACCTTGTTTGCTGAAAGTGAGGAGGACTTGAAGCACCTGCAGAAGATCAAGGAATGTAGCCTTCAGTATGGATTGCATCTCAATGTCAAGAAAACAAAGATTCGGCGAGGGCGGACCGTGAGGCTGGAGGAGGAGCCGCCTCCTCCCGCGCCCCCGCCGGCTGCGGCTGCTCGTTCCAGGCAGTAGGAGGATGCGGAGGCGCTCGCGGATGCTGCTGTGCTTCGCCTTCCTCTGGGTGCTGGGCATCGCCTACTACATGTACTCGGGAGGCGGCGCCGCGCTGGCCGGGGGCTCGGGCCGGAAGGAGGACTGGAATGAAATTGATCATATTAAAAAGAAAGACGTTCATCACAATGGTGAAGATAAAGCACAAAGCATGGAGACCCTGCCTCCAGGAAAAGTTCGATGGCAGGACTTTAACCAAGAAGGTTATGTTGGAGTAACAATGGTTCGATCTGGACAGGATCCCTACGCCCGGAGCAAGTTCAACCAGGTGAAAAGTGACAAGTTGCAAATGGACAGAAACATTCCTGATACCAGGCATGATCAGTGTCAGCGGAAGCAGTGGCGGGTGGGCCTCCCAGCAACCAGCATGGTGATCACGTTTGACAATGAAGCCAGGTCGGCCTTGCTGAGGACAGTCGTCAGCGTGCTTAAGAAAAGCCCTCCCCATCTTATAAAAGAAATCATCTTGGTGGATGACTACAGCAATGATCCGGAGGATGGGGCTCTCTTGGGGAAAATCGAGAAAGTAAAGGTTCTTAGAAATGATCGTCGAGAAGGCTTGATGCGCTCCCGGGTTCGTGGGGTCGATGCTGCCCAAGCCAAGGTCCTGACGTTCCTGGACAGTCCCTGTGAATGCAACGAGCACTGGCTGGAGCCCCTCCTTGAGAGGGTGGCTGAGAACAGAATGCGAGTTGTTTCTCCCATCATCAATGTCATTAATATGGATAACTTCCAGTATGTAGGGGCATCTGCTGACTTGAAAGGCGGCTTTGACCGGAATTTGGTATTCAAGTGGGATTACATGACCCCTGAGCAAAGGAGAGCCCGCCAAGGGAACCCAGTGGCCCCTATAAAAACACCCATGATTGCCGGGGGGTTGTTCGTGATGGATAAGTTCTACTTTGAAGAGCTTGGGAAATATGATATGATGATGGATGGATGGGAAGGAGAAAACTTAGAGATCTCTTTCCGAGTGTGGCAGTGTGGTGGCAGCTTGGAGATCATCCCCTGCAGTCGTGTGGGACGTGTATTCCAGAAGCAGCACCCTTACACCTTTCCAGGCGGAAGTGGGACAGTTTTTGCTCGCAATACTCACCGGGCAGCAGAGGAATGGATGGATGAATACAAAAACTTCTACTATGCAGCAGTGCCTTCAGCCACAAATGTCCCTTATGGAAATATTCAGAGCAGATTGGAACTTCGGAAGAAACTTAATTGCAAACCTTTCAAATGGTACCTTGAAAACGTCTACCCAGAATTAAGAGTTCCAGACCATCAGGATATTGCTTTTGGAGCCTTGCGACAGGGGACCAACTGCCTTGACACTTTGGGACATTTTGCCGATGGTGTTGTTGGAGTGTATGAGTGTCACAATGCTGGGGGAAACCAGGAATGGGCCTTAACAAAGGACAAGTCAGTAAAGCAAATGGATTTGTGCCTTACCATGGTGGACCGTGCCCCTGGCTCTCTTATAAAGCTCCAGGGCTGTGGAGAGAATGACAGCAGACAGAAATGGGAGCAGATTGAGGGCAACTCCAAGCTCCAGCACGTGGGCAGCAACCTGTGCCTGGACAGCCGCACAGCCAAGAGTGGGGGCCTGAGCGTGGAGGTGTGTGGCCCCGCCTTGTCCCAGCAGTGGAAGTTCTCACTCAACCTGCAGCAGTAGCGGCTGAGCTGTGCACCCTGCCTCCCGCTCCACTGAGTGTTGGTGGTCACATCCTTGGTTATGATTCTTAAACATTCCATGAAACTATATACCTCAGTATTCCATCACGCCTGAAAGTTGGAGAACATCAGCAGGGCCAAGGGGCTGTGCAGACAAGGAAGCAAGAGAAGAGAAGGCAGTGGTTCCTCTTGCTTCACCGACGCCTCTGTGGCCAGGCACCCCTTCCAGGGCAGAGCCCTTCCCCACTTTCTGGCTTCCACTTTGCGCTCATGCACATAGCTGAGCCATACCCAGGACAGCAAGGGACAACAGAGAGAAGCAACCCACCAGACTCAGACTCGTCGAGGGCGCGGGGAGAGTGGGATGGAAGTGCTTCGTCACAGAGCGGAGGACTCTCAAACTCTCCACGTGTGATCCCATCTAATTACTTACGGTTCCCAAATTGAATCATGTCATTTTACAGATTGATATTTCCCACACCTGCTCCCTCATCCTCAATGGTCTTCCTAGATCCCCCTCTATATAATGTATTTGGTGTATTTGCATATGAACTTTTCTACGATGGGGCCCTAAGTATAAATGAATATTAAGAAAGGGAAAAAAAGAAAGAAAACAAAGATTCTTACCACTGGACCAATAGGCAGTGTCTGGATGGATGGAGACAAGATTGAAACTGTCAACAGCTTCATTTTGCTTGGTACCAGCAGTCAGAAAATAAGGAGACATACTGCACCGGGAAAATCTGCAGTTAGGAACGTCTCCAAATTATCAAGAAATAATAATTTCAGTTTGAGTACTACAGTATGTCTGATTAAGGCCAAGGTCTTTTCAATTACTTGCTGTGCATCTGAGAGCTGGATAATGAATAAGAATGACAGAAAAAAGAACTGATATCTTTGAACTGTGGTGGTAGAGAAGAGCTTTGAACATACCATGGAGGCCAAGAGAACTAAAAGATATATCTTGGAGAGGATGCAGTCTGAGTGCTCTTTGGAGGCAAGAATAATGAGATTTTACCTCACATACTTTAGACATGTAACGAGGAGGTGCTATGCCTTGTAGAAGGACATGACGTTGGGAAGGGTGGAGGGTTGGCGAAGGAGAGGAAGACCCTCAACTAGATGGATTGACACGGTGACTGCTGCAATGGGCTCTTGTGTGCCAGGAAGTGTGAGGATGGTGCAGGATAGAACAGGGTTAAAATCTTTTGTTCATAGGGTCTCCATAAGTCGTACTCAACTCAACAATGACACCTACAACAACAACATATGCATTTTGTATGCAATCAATATAAAATAAAAAATACGTAAAAAACAAACAATGTGAAAATAAATAAAACAAAAACTAATAAATTAAGGAGGGAGGGTGAAAAAGAAAAATTAAAAAATAAAAAACACAAAAAAATTCTATTTAAGAAAATAAATAGCATAAACAGCAAATCAACTCACTCCTTGGA